GGAAGATCGCGCGGGGGAAGAAGTGTGCGGGCTGGAGGTAGCGGCGCGCGGGAGGTGGGAAGAAGGTGGGGGAAGCGGGAGCGGGGTCGGGATCGGGGAGACAGGACGAAGGTGGGGGAAGCGGGATCGAGATCGGTGAGACAGGAAGAAGTTGGGGAGGGAGGAAAAGGATCGCGCTGGGGGAAGAATAAGATAGCGCGGGGGTCGGGAGTCGGGGATGGCGCGGGGAATCGGGGTCGGGGAATCGGAGTTGGGAAGGGCGGGGGGTTTCCGCGCGGGGGATCGAGAAGTCACGGGAGGGCGGGGATTGGGATTGGGTAGGCAGCGGGGGGGAATAGCGAGCGGGAAGAGAGGTGGAGATGGCGCGTAGGAGGAAGGGGGAATGAAGACGAGGAAGAAGAAGGAGGGATGACGACGACGACGAGGAGAAGGAAGAAGAACGAGGGGGAAGGAGGGTTGAAGAGGACGAGAAAGAACAAGAATCGAGGGAGGAAAGGAGGAAGGAGGAAAGGAAGCAATGACGACGACGACGAGGGGAAGAAGAAGAAGAAATGAGGGGGGAGGAGAAAAGAAAAGAAAGTTTATTGGTCACTTACCTGCGCGCCGGCTTCGGGATCGGTGGCGTTGCAGCAGCGACGAGGGAGACAGCGAGGTGCTGACGTGGCAATGACGACGACGGCAGGTACGAGGCGCTGACGTGGCAGTGATGATGACGACGAAGATGACGTCGATGGCGATGATGTGGCAACGACGGCGACGAGGTCGATGGCGACGACGATGACGTGGCAACGACGATGGAACAGGGAGGGAGGGAGGGCCGAAGCCGCAACGATACCAGTGTGACGAGGCAGAGGCAGAGGCAGAGTAGCGAGGCTGAGGGAGAGAGAGGAGAGGGTGAGAGAACAGACACACACACTCACTCAACTCGACGCAGACTCGCAAGACTCAACGGACGCATACACGAAGTGGCGAAGTCGCAAAGTCACAGTCTTCGATTCCCGAACACAATGCCGAAGCAAGTCACACTGAAGCACAAGCACTGAGGCCGAAAACTGAATGCTCGTACTGGGCTTGAGTCCGATCTTAAGTACTGGACTCAAGTTCAGTCTGGAGGGCAGAAGTGCCATTGCCTCAGGACTGAACTGAGAATCGAAAGTCTGAGTCTGGGCGCCAGAATGTCGGATGGCGCCAATTGTCGAAATCCGAAAGTGCCAAAGGAGGGATTTGAAAACGGGCGCCAACTGCAGAGGGCGCTAACAGTCAGAAACCGAAGAGCAGGAAATCACACAAAAAAAAAAAAAAAGCAGGCTGGCAGGTGGTACCCCGCGAACCAGGGATCGAGCCCTGGCTGAGTCCATAACAGTTTCCATCATACCCAACAGTAGGGCCAACATTTCTAACCTTGCCACCTCAGTTCTCTCGATAGTCTTGGTACACCACCTTTTCCGGATCACCCACAGAGCCAGCTTCCTGAGAAGGTGAAACAAGATCTCCTTGACGCCTTTGAGATTGTTAGTAAGTTGGATAAAAGGATGTTCTGAGGAGATGTGGGGATAGGGGGTGATGAGAAGAGGAGGGACCATAGGTTGACCTTGTTCCGGATCCAGGCTGCTTCAGTGCAGTACAAGAGGCAGTGAGGTATGACTTCTGGTCTGTTGTCTGTGCACCAATCACATAATTCGGAGCTGTCGGGATCCGTATGTTTCCTCCTCATGTGAAGCCATTGGTTGATGGGCAGAGATGTGTGGGCTACGAGCCACTGCATGCTTCGGATCCTAACCGGTCTGATGGACAGGTACTTCGTCCAGCGGATGGGAATGGGGTCCGTAGGTTCTAGGTTCAGGATCTCCCTCCATTTTTCTTTGAGTCTGGGATCCAGGTCTGTGGTCTGTAATCCTAAGCCATATCCGAATTTTACATCGCCGTTCTCGTTCTCCCGGATTTTCCCTGTTTCCAGATCCACTCTTTCAGGTCGAATTCGAGGTCGGAAATGCTGAGATCAGGTTGGAAGACTATCCAGGGTTTGGCTTTTGGAACCCTCACTTTCCTCAGTGGGAAGGATTCTAGCATCTCACACTGGGGTTCTTTGTTCATAATTTCCAACTCTTGTAGGTTGTGACTATTGATCGGGTAGGAGAACAGTTTGGAGAGGTAGCTTGGTGCATTGGTTTGAGAGACGAATCGGTATGCTTTGCGAGGCTGGGTTTGGGAAATGAGTATGCCCCAGTCCCCGGATTGCCATGAGAAGTCCGCCCTTAGGAGGGAGAGCCACTGTGTTAGGATGCTCTTCTGAATCTGTGTTAAATTTTCTGTGAGGGCGTGGCAGCCTCAATTCATTTCGGAGCTCCTGTGGTTGACCATTGTCTTCAATCTTCTGCCCAAATGTGTTTCACCCGCCACACCCCTTTTCCCACCCAGGATAGCCATCTCCTGTCTTTTGATCGTAGTGTCCAGGGTGATCCACTTGGGTCTACGATCCAGGGGTTGCAGAACAAAGGTTGTCTTACGACCTCTTCTCTGTTTCCTGGTGCACCGTGTTTGCTTGGCATCATTCTTCGCCAGGCTTTGAGGGTAGGCTTCCAGTATGGATTTGCGGTTGGGGTGGTGGTTGTAACAGGATCTGCTCGGTTTCTTCTGCGAGGTCTGCGTGATTTGATTGTCCAGTCCACCACCATTATCCAGAAAAGACTTCTCATGTTCGGAGGGGAGTTGATAGGTGCTAGATTTCTGATGCTGTCTAAAGCGATCTGGGTGCATGGACTGAATTGTCTTATCAGGATCTTGATAATCCATCTCATCTGCAGTGCTATGGATTCCTGTTTGGAATCAATTAGCCCAAGACCACCCTCCTGCGGTTTCCTGATGATGTGGTTCCAGGCTACCTTGTTGATACACGTGGTCCTGTTGGAGTCTCCAGTTCATAGATAACATGTGGCCCTGTTTTTTAACGTTTTGAGGTCGTCGTCGGGGGGAAACCGGATGGATGCCATGTACCACAGTGTGGAGAAGATTGTTGTATTAATTAGTAACGTTGTTCCAATTGAAGAGGCCTGAGCGTTTTTGCACGGGGCCATGCGAGTGATTGGCCTGGTGACTAGGTTCTCGCTCATGCCTGGCCACACCCCGTCCTTGTTCACCATGATACCAAGGAATTTTAGTGCCTGATCTCCTGTAGACCATGGCATGGGTGTGGCTGTATCGGCCGGTTGGGGTGGGGTCTCGTCTGCTAGCCACCATCCTTCGGTTTTACCCACCTGACTTTTGTTTTTCCGATGCCAGTCTGAAGGCTTCCATTGCTCTTGCCAGGGCTTGGAACGAGCAGTTGTTGGCACGAATGAGGACAGCCACGGGATGTATTTTATTTTCTAGAATTTCTTACTTTTTCTTCATTTATTTATTTTGTTTATTATGCACTGGGGCATTCTCCACAGCCAGAGGCAGCCTGGACGCCCTGAATGGTGTTCTAGCTTTGAAGTGGCTTTGAAACCATACATGCAAGTGGACGCCGTGCGGCAAATTCCGCACGTTTGGTGCACGAGCGGACCCACAGGGTGCGGCGCATGCGGGAAATATTCACTCAAACAAAAAAAAGGGGTCACATGGCGGGGTCAATGGTCACCTGCGTCCCTTATAAAGGTTTGTTGTGGGATGGAAAACAAAAAAAAACTGTTGGGAGGTAATGTCGCTACCTAAAAGTCAAAACTGATGTCCCAGACACCTTTTTGAGGCTATTTCTCATGCCCAATTGGACAGAAAGAAAAATATGTATGACTGCACTTGAAAAAGATAAGTTCCTTAGGGGTTGCACTCTTCTGTATCTGCACAAACAGCAAAAAAAAAGCAAAAAAAGGGGAAACTGCAACTGGTATGGCGCAGGAGCAGGTGCCGTGCTGCACGCTGTGCGGCGCAACAGATGGTACGGCCCACGGTGCGGTTGCAAGTATGTTTGAAATGTGTGACGCTGTCTGCTATAGCTGCCTCTTGTATCGCCTGTTTCCACTTGAAGTGGTTCTGAAATGTTCTTTTTTCCTGTTCATTCATGATCCACCTGCTTGCAGTTTCACTGCTCAGCGAGTAATGAATATAACGACCTTGGAACTATCTTCTTCAACACCCAGGTAAATGGTATAATTTTCACAACTGCTATGTTCTTTCATCTGTCGTAGGGCTACACTGCATTTGTCCCTTCTCCTCCCCCCTCCCTCGCCCCCCCTTTTCCCTGTTCTCATCTCCCCTGCTTTTCCTCCCTAACCCAAATTCCGCCCCTCACCTCAACCCCTCGTCCCCATAACACTCTACTAGCAGTATTCGAGATAAGGTGGTTACTTTTTTGGCTCAATTTGTGTTGTCAGTTCTCTTTGTACTAGCATGCTTTTGGCAAAAATGGGAGCCCTATTGTTATCTTTATTTATTTATTTATTTATTTTTGGACCATTTCTCGATTTATGCATGTCATCCTTGTGCAGGGGCAATGATCTTCTCTGTATCGTTCCAATTTTAATGGATGTCCCGAAGGACAGCCCTATTGTTATCTAACCGGACCATTACCGGAGTTGTACTCTTTAACTGTTCAGGCTTCAGCCATCAGGCAGGTAACCTGTGGTCTGTATTCTTTTTGTGGTTTTCACTTGGATGCCATCGTGCGCATCAATTAGGATAACACAGACAGAGTCAAGCATAGCAAACAGCCACGGTCATTGAACTTGCTGTGCCCGGAATTTTTATCATGGCATGGGTGCAAACTGTAATGAACCCAGTCTCGTCATCCAAACATGTCGCAGATAACAATGTCGGGTCGTGAGATTATCAATCCAACAAGTCCATCAATTCGAAGTCATTGAAGTACATGATTCCTCATTCCCACGTGTAAGTCTCAAAGTCCTTAGTACCCAGTAAAGGGAGGAGGGGAGAATAGACAGTTGGAAAGATAGGTGTGACACAGCAACAAGTCCCTCTTCTCCTTCAGGCTCCCCACCTCTGCCACGTCAGCACTCTGTGCTCAATGTGCCACGTCAGCACTCTGTGCTCAATGTGCCACGTCAGCACTCTGTGCTCAATGTGCCACGTCAGCACTCTGTGCTCAATGCCACGTCAGCACTCTGTACTCAGTATGACATGTGGACGATGAAGAAGCAGAATCGGCAGCAGCTTCACATCCGAAGAAATCAGGCTCGTATGCACGACAACTCATATTACCCACACCCTCTCTCTCCCTCTCCTCATTCCCTTGCCGTCATCTATGATCGCGGCCTTGGCCGCCCTCTCCTTCTCTCTAAACTACAGTATCTGGCTGGCGCCCATGAAGTAGCCTGGCGCCAGCACTCCCTCTCAAGTCTCACGTGCAGCGTCGTAGCCGCAAGCAACTCGCAAGACTGAATGCCCAAGCAGTGGCGAGGTCAACTCAATATGGTGTTGACTCGCCTGTCCACGGTCAGCGTCGGTCCATGTGAGGGCCCGGATCTTTCGATTTGTCCCAGTTTTTGTCTGGACTCCTTGAGGACTGAATCTTCCGGAACCTGCAGACCACTGATAGACCGTTCCAGATCGACGGCCAGGAAATCTTGTGTGTTGACTTTGACTTCTCGGATCTGGGCCTGGGTCCACGAGCTGATCATTGACTTTTCGGTCAACTGTTGGCCTGTTTGACCCCTGTATTTCCAATCCTGCCAGTTCGTGCTTGTCTGCGGGCGCGACGAGAGCCCAGCGGCTCAATTTGGCACACGAGTTACAGCACAAACACTGGAAAGACAACTTGCGTAGGTGATTATGAAATGTCACCTTGATTGCACTATTATTTAGGAATTTTGCTCGATGGCACTTGATACTCGAGTGGTGAAATTTCAGCTCTGCTTTGTTGTTATTGGAGTATGATCCATGTACGGTGCTTGAGCATCGTCTTGAAGAGTTACCACAACCCTTTTGAGAAATGAAAGGTTTGACTCCTGCAGGAGTAAAACAGCAGGTCGACCCGGCTTACTCTATTTGCATCTGGACTCCTGTAGGAGGTCACTGAGCAGGGACGTCCCGACTATAAATGCTGACAAGTGGTTTGAGTGGATTGATTCCGCACTCAGCAATGACAGGTGATCAAATTATACAATGAGCAAACGTTTCATCAAAGCTGCCATGTGACTGGGCTTACCAGCAATCAAACATTTTTCTGGAAAGCTGACTACGGCCACAGGTAAACGATTCCAAAGGTCAGAAACTGCTTCTGGATGCATTCAGAGTTGGGCTGAGGCTGGATTTGAACCCACAACCTGGGCGAAGTGAGTGGAAACTCGTTAATAGCATCTTCATTGCGGTTTGCTGCTGTCTAACCTTGAACTCAGGATCTGTTTGTCCTGCAATGAACCCAGATGGCGAAGATACTTGTCAACAATGCCAGCCCATATAGATAGGGAAGACGGGAAAAGTGAGATGGAGAAGAATTGCGACCAAATCAACCTGTGATGTGTTCGAGGAAGTTTGTGTGAGCGTGAAGATTACTGAAATTGTGTTCCTTATACCCGATGTTGTACCTTGTTTTGCATGGTTCTTCATAGGGAATCCTCCTGTCTGTTAGGGAAGACGGGAAAAGTGAGGTAGAGAAGAATTGCAACAATAGGGTTTGTAGTCTATGATCACTGGAGCTAAGAACAGGATGGGGCCTTACACTTTCAGTGACTCTCCTCTTTGGAGAAAAGAAGAAAAGCCCGGGCAGAAAGTTCAGCGATGGAGGTAGAAGCTAAGCAGAAGATTGCTAAGTTGGAGAAGCAGATGGCTGAGGTGGAGGCAGAGATGAAGTGGAAAGAGGCTCAGCTCGAGACGTTAGAGGTGGTGGAAGAGAAGAAGGTGAAAGTGGAAGATAAATAAACGGGCGTGTGATTCCTCCAGTATATGCTTGAGTATGAGGTGACCTCATTCCACTCTGACCTCAAGACCCTCTTTGCAGTGGTTTTTCAGACAGATGAAGCACCTGGCTAGTGTCGATTCTGCCTTAGCTAAACAGCTGACTGCAGACACCCCAGCCATCGCTGAGATCTTCAGTCGGGCAAGGGGCACTAGGCACAGGGGCACAGGACGCAGAGGTCCTCAAAGCCAGAATTAGATCTCCTGCCCAAGTTCAAGGCCGAAGGAGATGAGGATGTGGACAGCTGCTTACAATCTTTCAATGGACACATTGACCATTACAAGCTGACAAAGGACCTATACAAATTGCACGTCACATTTCTCTCATTGCCAACACAGCGAAGGGGTGGGTCGATGTAGAAATGCTGAAGGCAGGAAGTGATGTCAGTGGGTATGCCCAAGGGAGGAGTTGGCAAGAGTTCTCCAAAAGGTTGGGATGAGGGGCACCGTGGTGACACATTATGCAACCCCAAAGCATGGGGCGTACAGCCAGACAGACAAGAGACCTACACAAATTACATTTCATTTTTTTCTCTCACTGCCAACATGGCGAAGGGGTGGGTTGATGCAGAAATGTTGCAGGCAGGAGGTGACATCAGTGGTATGCTAAAGGGAGGAGTTGGCAAAAGTTCTCCAAAAAGTCGGGGTGCGGGGCATCATGGTGGCACATTATGCAACCCCAAAGCATGGGGCAGAATTGTCAAGCTTGCTACACAGCCATATTGAGGTCTAGCACCAGATATGGTCAGAGAATTTGACCGGGTTTTGCAGACCCCATGGTTGGGTTTGGGAGATTTTGCAATGATGTAAGCTTTTTGTGCTCGCTGAGCCTTGCTCTCCCCTAAAGAATAGTCAGCCACCTGGTTCACCGGAGGTAGGACTTACAACGGAGCGCTGTAGTTGGACTCAGTCCACAGGGAAGACGCAGTGACCAAGCAGCCGAGTAAGGTGCTTTTTTTCTGTGACATAATGACATTCCCATCACGTTTGGCATTAATGATGCTACAACTTATCATTTTATGTATTACACAATCTCGTCTAACCTAGTACCTACCATTCAGATGGTTCTGGGCCAGCAGTGGCTGAGAGGAGCAGGAGCAGTTGTCAACTTCGCTTCTGGAACAAATGCAGACAGCTCTTGATCGCGCATCAGATCTGTGACCGTGGTTGACTGCGGAGAAATCGGTGACTCCTAGTCTACTTTTCCTGAGTTGGGCCTGACTCTTAAAGAGAAATTTCTCAGACCCCTCGGAGACAAGAGAGGCGACTTTTGACCCCTGAATCTAGATTTGGACCAACAGTTATGTCCCTGGGCTATGTCTGTGAGGATTTTGAACTGAATTCATTGCACATGTGTCCAAGGTAATGCCGTACAATCTGAGGGAAAAAGAGGTATGCACCCCCCTAGTGTGGATGGGTGAGGAGAAGTGGAGAAGATCGACGATCACCGGTTTGTAAGACTGCCGACAAGCAGAGAAAGGCTGGGGAAGATCTATTGGGTCAATTTCCTCAACTACCACGGATAGACAGATCCGCCACTCTCATGGGGACCTGCATCCCGAATTGTTGCAGCATACGAGAGAGCACTCCAAAGACAAGAAGAGAAGAACACCCTGACTCTCTATGTCTGTCTGTCTGTCTGCCAATCAGTTTATCCGTCTTTTCGCCCACTGGTCTGTCCTGCTGTTGTCTCTCTTTTTATCTGTCGGTTGTCCCTGGTGGCTCAATGTGAAAATAATGGTCAGTACGTGTGCTACATATCATCGCACTTCCCCCTTCTTGTTTAGATGTGAAAACAAGGAGTTTGAAATTTGAATGTGACTTTGCTTACCAGTCCCAGTGGGGTTGTTATTGTGCCAACAGGATGATGCTATCCGGAATTTGTTCAGTTCAAAGACTCAACACGAGTATAGTTCAGAGACGCTCCTTATTTTCTTTGTGAGTTTCTCTTTCCTGGTCCCCTTTCTCCTGGGGAATGTATTGGTCTCATAGCTTCTGCTTTCGTTATCTTGACTGCTGTTGCTTCATGTTGCTCTCATTGAGATAGAAGAAAATGAAGCAGGGCAGAGAGCATAGGACATATCAAGCTAATACAAGAGAATGTAGACAATGGAGTCCCTCCTGTTGTCCCCACTGTGATGCCTCTCTCTGTCCATCCGTCTGTCTCCCTCCCTCTCTGGGTGTGACCCCTCCTTGACCCTCTACCTTCCTCTATGCTGACCATGCCGCCCTCCCCCCTCTCTCACCCCCTGCCAAGCTGTCTTCTTGCCTGTCTTTTTCTATCATATGCTCTCAAGGCTTATTGGTGGGCATTGAAACATGATCAACCGCGTTGTCGTTGTGTAGTTTATGCAAGTTGCTGTGTATTGACAGGGGGCACTGCACTTCCTCGCTGTCACTACAGAGAGAGAAGTCAAAGTATCAAGGCAGAGAGCAAAGGGCAGGCCAAGGTAGTACAAGATGGTAATATAGGGAATTTTACCCCTCCTTGACTCACTATCTTCCTTTCTTCCCAACTGCGGCCTCTCTCTCGCTCTCCTTCTCTCTCTCTCCCCTTCCCCCCTTCTTCCCTGGACAAGCTATCTGCCTTCCGGTCTCACTGTTAGAGCCTTGCTGACTGGCACAAACACTATCACTCTATCACCTTGTCCTTGCTCACTTAGCGTGAGTGAGGTGAAATATAACTGTGGCCGGTTGCTCTTGCAATGAAGGTCATCTTTGCTGTTTGCTGCAAGTAGAGCTATACATTTACGCAGCTCACCAAGCAATGCTGATCCCCATTGTTTGGAATGAGCTCCATTGGTTTTGTGCATCCTAAGCACTATGCTCGCCTCTATGTTTTAAGACTGTACTTTCTTTCCCTTACATGGTATAATTCTTTTTGCTGTTTCTGTGATGGTTTGCAGGTAGTGTTTTACTTGCTTGCTGTCGTCACGTATGGAATAAATGTCCCATCCGGACAGTTCGTCCCTGGCATTCTTCTTGGTGCAACATATGGGCGCCTTATTGGGATGCTTATGGTGAAGATGTACAATATTGACGAGGGCACGTATGTATGTCAATTAATGCAGTCCTTTGCTGTCCTGGCCATTCCCTTTCTTCAACCGAGCAGTTATTGGTGATCCGTCTAGAGTGCTCTCAACATTCTGTCCGATATCCACAACTGTTGCCTTCATCGCTCATTTTCTTTTTTTCCTTTTTTTTGTAATGACCCGCCAAAACACAGACTGAGAACACTGCTGATTTCTGAGTTCTGCCACTGGAATGGATGCCTTGCAGAGATTCCCGCATTCTGTTGAGTTTTCTAAGTCAGTGTGTGTGTGTATGCTTGATGGTCTGCTTGCCTGTCTGAGCGCTGGTCGGCCTGAGTGTGTGTGTGACAGGCAAGGGTACTTGCTTGTTTGGAGGCCCGTAGGCCCGGTACTTACCTGTGGCCGTGACATTGAGGGTTGCAGCGGGGGGGAAAACAATCAAGTGGCGGGGCACGAGGCCCGCGACACTTAGGGCAGCGGGAAAACACTCAAGTAGCAGGTAGGCCGGTACCGCACCAAATAGAAGTAGATGTGTCGGGTGCTCGAGGCCGAGCAGAAGAAGACAAAATTTGGCATTTTTAGAGGCCCAGTAGCTGTAGGCTAGGTCTAGGCGGGTACCAGTCCAACCAGTCTGAGTCTAGGGCCTGTACGGGCAATATCAGAGTCTGCAATGATGTTTCCCTCCGAAAGGGAGGAGGTACCGGTTGCTTGGAGGCCACACGGCCTAGGAGACCGCCCAAGAGGCAAGTAGGCCGCTATATCTCCAGGAGGAGCAAAGAGCTCCTCGTTTTTTTTTTTTTTTTACAACGGACCCAGTGCCCAAGGCTGATATTACCAATGAGAATATTGAGGCCGGGGTCCTCACAGTCTACCCGGAGTAACCAAAAGGACAACTGCTGAGAACTACTGAGACCGGGCTCAGCCTCCCTCATATTACGATGAAACCAATCATGATGATAGTACTAAAGGTGGTTATGCTGATGTAGTAAACTATTCTATGTCTGCCAATCTGGCTTCCTAAGCCTAGCTTAACTCCTAGCCCTCCTTAACCCAGTAGTTTAATAGCTCAAGGACAATACCACCCGCACCAACGTCACCCATAGCTGTTCTCTTCTCGCCACCAACAGCCCCCCCCGGTTCGCCACTGGATTGCCTTCCTCCCTCGGCAAAACCCAGATCTCTCTACAAGGCCTCACGCTCCTGCAGATTGCAGGTTACAGGACAGAACCCCAGCTCCGGCCAGCGTTGTTCTGGCATCGGCAACCCAGGGGCACAGAACAGAGCAACTCTGCGGAAATCAGTCCAAGTTCGACCATCCCTGACCTCCTCCATCCCAGGTATATACAAGAACTGGAAGCTACCGCAAAGCCAGAGAACCAGAAGACTAGATATAGCATAGCAAAGCTGAATTAAGAAAACTGTCAAGGTCTAAAGGACTCAAGATCCCTCAAACTCCCTAACCAACCTTTCCGAAATTACTCAAAGTTGCCTTGCTCGCTGCCAAGCTCTACCAGGCCTCACGCCCCCTACTTCTGCTAAGTTGCAGGGCAACACAACTTACCCCAGCTCCGGCCGGCATCGTCCCTGCAGCAGACCTTGGTTGTCCCGTAAGATGCCCACCCCAAAGCATCCCCAGATCACTCCGCTAGGCCTCACGCTCCTGCTTCAGCAGATTACAGGGCAACACCCCAGCACCGGCCAGCGTCATTTCAGCATCGAACAACCATAATCGACGAGTATAGCAAACTCAAGGCAACCCAAAAAAGGTTACTGGAAGTCCCAGAGTCCTAAGCACTCTTATCCCTCCGACAGAAGACTAGTAAGGGCTGCCAAACCACCAACTACCTGCCCTCCCCGCAACAACTGAAGAAAAACCCGGGGTCTCGTGTTCAGTCCTCGATCCAACACACGACTGATCTCATACCCTCCCATGCTAGAGTTACAAGACTCCACCAAGTCCCAGTACCGACCAACCTAGTGTAGTCGGTAAGGAGTGCCTTCCTCCCTCGGCAGCTCCCCATAGCCGCACGCCCCAAACGGTAACAGGGATTTAACCCCGGCTACGGCCACGTTGAAAGTGCTGGTTCTGTCTTCCTCCCTCGACAGAACTCCCCCAAACCCCGTGCTCCTCCCAGGTCACAGAGCAGAACGCTCCAGCACCGGTCTGTGTTGTCCCAGCCCCTTCCTTCTGACCTACTATCAAGACCCCCGACCCCCCCCCTCTATTGCCCCCCCTTCCCACCTCTTACCCAACCGCCCTCTTGGAGCAAAAGACTCCAATCTATCAGACGTCACATATGACAGAAATCACAATGGGGTAGTCCCAACTAAAGGAAAGACCTCATTGCACCCGCCCCCACGCCTAACCAACCTTACTCCGGTAAGACTTACTGCAGTGTAGCCACCATCTCCCCTGCCTCTATACCCTACTACCACTCTGCAGGTTAGCCCCTTCCCTGCATCGCGCGTCCTTACCCCCGATCATGCCATCATGACCCCCGCAACCAGTGCCCTCCTCAAGGAAGAACCAAGCAAAGATGGATTTGATAACACGATCTACGAATTTAGTATAAGAAGCTCAATTTAAAAAAAAAACAAAAATTGTATAGGATTAGTCATCTGTCTAGGTCATCATTTAAGACTGAAATTTAGAACTGAGATTGCGATAAGAGCAGCAAAGTGCTCCTCCTCATTCTTCGGTGTGCAAGTTTGGCGACACACTGCTTGGAGCGTTGGCTGGAGGAGCGCTGGGCATTTCAGCGCTGCTAGGAGGAAGGAGACTGGGAGCTCCCACCTCAGCTATGGTGGAGCTCTACCGGTAGGAGGAGGAGGAGGAAGAAGAGGACTGAGGATGAGAGCGGCGAGGTACCTACCTGGCTATGGTGGGCACGATCGTCACCACCTTGTTAGGCGCTGCGTCTGGAAGGCCCCAGTTGGGGTTGCGCCGCACCAAGAAGGCTTCAAGGCGGGGTCAGGCATGGCGGCCTGAACAGCAGCGTGCATAGCTGCTTTGTGTTGTCCTTTGCACAGCAGGGCGAGGCACTGGTAGTCAGGCATAGCCTTGGCCTACATGAAGAGGAAGGAGAAGGGTGGCCAGGGCTATGGTGGACCTCATGTTGTGCCTGCAGTAGAAGAGGGATTGAGACATTGATTCTGGTTCAGCCATTCAACATTATTGTTATTATTGATTGAATATAAGGGGTGGAGAAAAGGAGGAGGAGAGTCTTTGCTGGTGTACATCTTCTTCTTCTTCTTCTTCTTTCCCTCTCTCTCTCCTCTCAAGTTCATTCATTTCTTTTTGCAATTGGACGACATTGTGCTTTCTCATGAACATGTACTTCGAAATTGGCCAGGATCGTAACATTGGTATCAGAGCGGATTCTTCTTGCTGGTGAGAGTTGACTTTGCCGCCGTAACCCGAACCTGAGTGGTTAGGGCTAACCACTTAGGGTTAGGGCAGGAAGTTAGGGTTAAGTGGGGCAGTGTGGTGAAAGGGAAGCTGCTCCCACCTGGCAGGGTCGTGTACGGTCGACAATAGACCCGGCCAGGTTGCTAGTGTGTGTGTGTGTGTGTGTGGTGGCGAGACAGAAGGTGGGACTTTGTGATGTCATTTGAGAGGGGCGACAAGGAAGGGCACCTACAACTGGAATCCGGACTTCAGGGAAGACAAGGAGCGACTTTAGGTGTTACATACTTCAACGAGTATGGGCAGAACCAAAGATCAACCAATGTAGGATGAGCATATATGCAGCGGAAGTCTGATGAACGGACTGACTTACATAGACTGACTCACATAGATATCACTCCACACACAGACAATCGTGAGATGGTGGGGTCTGGGCCAAGCATAGACGATGCCCAGACCTCGTACACACATACACAGGTGAGAGGTGGGAGGAGAGACGAAGGAGGTGGGAGATGTAGGTAGCACCAAATGTTGCCGAGATAGAAACCAGTAGGTCACCGATATGGTAATCCAAAATGTCCTCGAACAAGATCAAAATGTCGCGGACAATAAGTCACCAATGTCGAAGATACAAAGTCCTAATGTAGCCGGTGTCCAATCTGTGATGCAGCCGAGTATCATCCCCAACAATATCCAAGTCTCGAATCCGTTAAGTACCACAGCCTCTTACCACCGAAGTCCAACTCTGATCGCTGTCCAACTAGTATAAGTCTCCAATCTGAAGAAGAAGAAGAAGAAGAAGAAGATGATGAAGTCTGAAGAGAAGAAGGAGAAGAAGAAGAAGAAGGAGGGAGCCGAGGAGGAGAGAGAGAGAGAGAGGGGACTGGCGATGGGAGGGAGGAGAGAAGCCTCCGACTCCCGATACCTCAGGCGGCTATGGCCGCTGATAACGCCGAGTCGCCGCTGCTGCTGCTCCGCTCGCTGCTGCTGCGCTAATGCTGCGCTGCTTCTCGCTGCTCCTGCGCTAAACTTAGCACCAGCGCTGATTCGCGTCGTACCATACCGCACCGTTGCGTGCCGGTGGGACGATGGCCTCGAAGTGAGGCCGAACCAGTACTAAGTACTGGTTCGAAGAGGACCGGCCTCAATGCTGCGAGGCCTTGGTTGGGGCTGAACCGTCCAGATCGACGATTCAGGTCCAACCGGAGAGCGGCAGCCTCAAACGGCGCCGCCAGGCCCAAAACGAAATGTCGTTCGGGCCTGGTCCGTAATTTGGTCCAAGTCGTGGCCTTTCGGCCTGTTACTCCCCAAGGTCGGGCCTTTAGGCCCTGATGTGTCCCTCTAGCCCTAAGTCGGGTCTGGTAGGACCCGTGTGGCGTCGAAGATGTAACACACTCCCCCTCTTAAAAGACCGAGCTACTTGCGAGGGCGGAGTTGTCTGTCCGATACCGGGATGGGTCGGGTGGGACGAGCTGCTGCCTTGGCAAGTCGTGTCTTCTCATAGTTGGCGAAGATAAGGGGTGCAGAAGTCTGCAAGTCTGCACTAGAGATCCACCGAGTGTCGTCAGGCACACATTGCTTGAATGTGACTTTGTAGTGCATTGGCTTGTTGCCATACTTGCGGTGCGTGATGACTCGGTCCACTTCTTGATGTCCGTCCATGGAAGGCAGATCCTGTGATCGACGTCCGGGAAACTCGTCAACTGAAGGTGGCGTGTAGATGGCTTGCTTCGATGCGTGGAAGACCCGATGCACTGTAAGGTGCGGTGGAATGTTGATCACGAAGGAAGGACCGGCGGGGTCCTCTCCAACGGCAGAAGTGACTTCCCATGGTACGAACCATTTCGGAAGGAGTTTGCGCGAAACRTCCTGCTCGAGCGCAAATTCCTCGGAGAGGACCCAAACAAGGTCTCCCTCGCGGAAAGGACATGGAAGYCGACGTCGGTTAGCTTGCTGTTGCATGCGGATTTGAGCCTTTTGCATTTTCGCGCGGGCTTTGATCAGCAAGTCCTGGTACTTCCGAACGGAAGCGGGAGAGCAAGGGACGTCT